AGTTTATTTCCGGTTCCAGTTCAGGTTCAACTTCGGGTTCTGATAACGGTTCCGATTCCGGTTCCGATTCTGGTTCCGGTTCCGGTTCCGATTCCGATTTCGGTTCCAATTCAATTTAACAATTCTAAGTTTTCGGATATTTTCCATTGTTTTGCCAAATTTGATATTTTCTTATATTTTCCATAGTTTTGCCGTTTTTTATGTTTTCGCATATTTTTCATAGTTTTGCGGTAAATACTGTTTTAGTTTTACTGGTTTAGTTTACTTTGGTTTAGATTAGTTTAGAATAGTTTCGTTTAGTTTAATTTGGTTAAGTTTCGTTAAATTTTTTTACTTAAGTTTAGTTTAGTTTATTTCCGGTTCCAGTTCTGGTTCAACATCGGGTTCCGATACCGGTTCCGATTTGGTTCCGATTCCGGTTCCGATTCTAGTTCCGGTTCCGGTTCCGATTCCGATTTCGGTTCCGATTCAATTTAACAATTCTAAGTTTCCAGATATTTTCCATTGTTTTACCAAATTTGATATTTTCTTATATTTTCCATAGTTTTGCCGTTTTTTATGTTTTCGCATATTTTTCATAGTTTTGCGGTAAATACTGTTTTAGTTTTACTGGTTTAGTTTACTTTGGTTTAGATTAGTTTAGAATAGTTTCGTTTAGTTTAATTTGGTTAAGTTTCGTTAAATTTTTTTACTTAAGTTTAGTTTAGTTTATTTCCGGTTCCAGTTCAGGTTCAACTTCGGGTTCTGATAACGGTTCCGATTCCGGTTCCGATTCTGGTTCCGGTTCCGGTTCCGATTCCGATTTCGGTTCCAATTCAATTTAACAATTCTAAGTTTTCGGATATTTTCCATTGTTTTGCCAAATTTGATATTTTCTTATATTTTCCATAGTTTTGCCGTTTTTTATGTTTTCGCATATTTTTCATAGTTTTGCGGTAAATACTGTTTTAGTTTTACTGGTTTAGTTTACTTTGGTTTAGATTAGTTTAGAATAGTTTCGTTTAGTTTAATTTGGTTAAGTTTCGTTAAATTTTTTTACTTAAGTTTAGTTTAGTTTATTTCCGGTTCCAGTTCTGGTTCAACTTCGGGTTCTGATAACGGTTCCGATTCCGGTTCCGATTCTGGTTCCGGTTCCGGTTCCGGTTCCGATTCCGATTTCGGTTCCAATTCAATTTAACAATTCTAAGTTTTCGGATATTTTCCATTGTTTTGCCAAATTTAATATTTTCTTATATTTTCCATAGTTGTGCCGTTTTTTATGTTTTCGCATATTTTTCATAGTTTTGCGGTAAATACTGTTTTAGTTTTACTGGTTTAGTTTACTTTGGTTTAGATTAGTTTAGAATAGTTTCGTTTAGTTTAATTTGGTTAAGTTTCGTTAAATTTTTTTACTTAAGTTTAGTTTAGTTTATTTCCGGTTCCAGTTCTGGTTCAACATCGGGTTCCGATACCGGTTCCGATTTTGGTTCCGATTCCGGTTCCGATTCCGGTTCCGATTCTAGTTCCGGTTCCGGTTCCGATTCCGATTTCGGTTCCGATTCAATTTAACAATTCTAAGTTTCCAGATATTTTCCATTGTTTTACCAAATTTGATATTTTCTTATATTTTCCATAGTTTTGCCGTTTTTTATGTTTTCGCATATTTTTCATAGTTTTGCGGTAAATACTGTTTTAGTTTTACTGGTTTAGTTTACTTTGGTTTAGATTAGTTTAGAATAGTTTCGTTTAGTTTAATTTGGTTAAGTTTCGTTAAATTTTTTTACTTAAGTTTAGTTTAGTTTATTTCCGGTTCCAGTTCTGGTTCAACTTCGGGTTCTGATAACGGTTCCGATTCCGGTTCCGATTCTGGTTCCGGATCCGGTTCCGATTCCGATTTCGGTTCCAATTCAATTTAACAATTCTAAGTTTCCAGATATTTTCCATTGTTTTACCAAATTTGATATTTTCTTATATTTTCCATAGTTTTGCCGTTTTTTACGTTTTCGCATATTTTGCATAGTTTTGCGGTAAATACTGTTTTAGTTTTACTGGTTTAGTTTACTTTGGTTTAGATTAGTTTAGAATAGTTTCGTTTAGTTTAATTTGGTTAAGTTTCGTTAAATTTTTTTACTTAAGTTTAGTTTAGTTTATTTCCGGTTCCAGTTCTGGTTCAACTTCGGGTTCTGATAACGGTTCCGATTCCGGTTCCGATTCTGGTTCCGGTTCCGGTTCCGGTTCCGATTCCGATTTCGGTTCCAATTCAATTTAACAATTCTAAGTTTTCGGATATTTTCCATTGTTTTGCCAAATTTAATATTTTCTTATATTTTCCATAGTTGTGCCGTTTTTTATGTTTTCGCATATTTTTCATAGTTTTGCGGTAAATACTGTTTTAGTTTTACTGGTTTAGTTTACTTTGGTTTAGATTAGTTTAGAATAGTTTCGTTTAGTTTAATTTGGTTAAGTTTCGTTAAATTTTTTTACTTAAGTTTAGTTTAGTTTATTTCCGGTTCCAGTTCTGGTTCAACATCGGGTTCCGATACCGGTTCCGATTTTGGTTCCGATTCCGGTTCCGATTCCGGTTCCGATTCTAGTTCCGGTTCCGGTTCCGATTCCGATTTCGGTTCCGATTCAATTTAACAATTCTAAGTTTTGGATATTTTCCATTGTTTTGCCAAATTTAATATTTTCTTATATTTTCCATAGTTTTGCCGTTTTTTACGTTTTCGCATATTTTGCATAGTTTTGCGGTAAATACTGTTTTAGTTTTACTGGTTTAGTTTACTTTGGTTTAGATTAGTTTAGAATAGTTTCGTTTAGTTTAATTTGGTTAAGTTTCGTTAAATTTTTTTACTTAAGTTTAGTTTAGTTTATTTCCGGTTCCAGTTCAGGTTCAACTTCGGGTTCTGATAACGGTTCCGATTCCGGTTCCGATTCTGGTTCCGGATCCGGTTCCGATTCCGATTTCGGTTCCAATTCAATTTAACAATTCTAAGTTTCCAGATATTTTCCATTGTTTTACCAAATTTGATATTTTCTTATATTTTCCATAGTTTTGCCGTTTTTTATGTTTTCGCATATTTTTCATAGTTTTGCGGTAAATACTGTTTTAGTTTTACTGGTTTAGTTTACTTTGGTTTAGATTAGTTTAGAATAGTTTCGTTTAGTTTAATTTGGTTAAGTTTCGTTAAATTTTTTTACTTAAGTTTAGTTTAGTTTATTTCCGGTTCCAGTTCTGGTTCAACTTCGGGTTCTGATAACGGTTCCGATTCCGGTTCCGATTCTGGTTCCGGTTCCGGTTCCGGTTCCGATTCCGATTTCGGTTCCAATTCAATTTAACAATTCTAAGTTTTCGGATATTTTCCATTGTTTTGCCAAATTTAATATTTTCTTATATTTTCCATAGTTTTGCCGTTTTTTATGTTTTCGCATATTTTTCATAGTTTTGCGGTAAATACTGTTTTAGTTTTACTGGTTTAGTTTACTTTGGTTTAGATTAGTTTAGAATAGCTTCGTTTAGTTTAATTTGGTTAAGTTTCGTTAAATTTTTTTACTTAAGTTTAGTTTAGTTTATTTCCGGTTCCAGTTCTGGTTCAACATCGGGTTCCGATACCGGTTCCGATTTTGGTTCCGATTCCGGTTCCGATTCCGGTTCCGATTCTAGTTCCGGTTCCGGTTCCGATTCCGATTTCGGTTCCGATTCAATTTAACAATTCTAAGTTTCCAGATATTTTCCATTGTTTTACCAAATTTGATATTTTCTTATATTTTCCATAGTTTTGCCGTTTTTTATGTTTTCGCATATTTTTCATAGTTTTGCGGTAAATACTGTTTTAGTTTTACTGGTTTAGTTTACTTTGGTTTAGATTAGTTTAGAATAGTTTCGTTTAGTTTAATTTGGTTAAGTTTCGTTAAATTTTTTTACTTAAGTTTAGTTTAGTTTATTTCCGGTTCCAGTTCTGGTTCAACATCGGGTTCCGATACCGGTTCCGATTTTGGTTCCAATTCGGTTCCGATTCCGGTTCCGATTCTAGTTCCGGTTCCGGTTCCGATTCCGATTTCGGTTCCGATTCAATTTAACAATTCTAAGTTTCCAGATATTTTCCATTGTTTTACCAAATTTGATATTTTCTTATATTTTCCATAGTTTTGCCGTTTTTTATGTTTTCGCATATTTTTCATAGTTTTGCGGTAAATACTGTTTTAGTTTTACTGGTTTAGTTTACTTTGGTTTAGATTAGTTTAGAATAGTTTCGTTTAGTTTAATTTGGTTAAGTTTCGTTAAATTTTTTTACTTAAGTTTAGTTTAGTTTATTTCCGGTTCCAGTTCTGGTTCAACTTCGGGTTCTGATAACGGTTCCGATTCCGGTTCCGATTCTGGTTCCGGATCCGGTTCCGATTCCGATTTCGGTTCCAATTCAATTTAACAATTCTAAGTTTCCAGATATTTTCCATTGTTTTACCAAATTTGATATTTTCTTATATTTTCCATAGTTTTGCCGTTTTTTATGTTTTCGCATATTTTTCATAGTTTTGCGGTAAATACTGTTTTAGTTTTACTGGTTTAGTTTACTTTGGTTTAGATTAGTTTAGAATAGTTTCGTTTAGTTTAATTTGGTTAAGTTTCGGTAAATTTTTTTACTTAAGTTTAGTTTAGTTTATTTCCGGTTCCAGTTCTGGTTCAACTTCGGGTTCTGATAACGGTTCCGATTCCGGTTCCGATTCTGGTTCCGGTTCCGGTTCCGATTCCGATTTCGGTTCCAATTCAATTTAACAATTCTAAGTTTCCAGATATTTTCCATTGTTTTACCAAATTTGATATTTTCTTATATTTTCCATAGTTTTGCCGTTTTTTATGTTTTCGCATATTTTTCATAGTTTTGCGGTAAATACTGTTTTAGTTTTACTGGTTTAGTTTACTTTGGTTTAGATTAGTTTAGAATAGTTTCGTTTAGTTTAATTTGGTTAAGTTTCGTTAAATTTTTTTACTTAAGTTTAGTTTAGTTTATTTCCGGTTCCAGTTCTGGTTCAACTTCGGGTTCTGATAACGGTTCCGATTCCGGTTCCGATTCTGGTTCCGGTTCCGGTTCCGATTCCGATTTCGGTTCCAATTCAATGTAACAATTCTAAGTTTTGGATATTTTCCATTGTTTTGCCAAATTTGATATTTTCTTATATTTTCCATAGTTTTGCCGTTTTTTACGTTTTCGCATATTTTGCATAGTTTTGCGGTAAATACTGTTTTAGTTTTACTGGTTTAGTTTACTTTGGTTTAGATTAGTTTAGAATAGTTTCGTTTAGTTTAATTTGGTTAAGTTTCGTTAAATTTTTTTACTTAAGTTTAGTTTAGTTTATTTCCGGTTCCAGTTCTGGTTCAACATCGGGTTCCGATACCGGTTCCGATTTTGGTTCCGATTCCGGTTCCGATTCTAGTTCCGGTTCCGGTTCCGATTCCGATTTCGGTTCCGATTCAATTTAACAATTCTAAGTTTCCAGATATTTTCCATTGTTTTACCAAATTTGATATTTTCTTATATTTTCCATAGTTTTGCCGTTTTTTATGTTTTCGCATATTTTTCATAGTTTTGCGGTAAATACTGTTTTAGTTTTACTGGTTTAGTTTACTTTGGTTTAGATTAGTTTAGAATAGTTTCGTTTAGTTTAATTTGGTTAAGTTTCGTTAAATTTTTTTACTTAAGTTTAGTTTAGTTTATTTCCGGTTCCAGTTCAGGTTCAACTTCGGGTTCTGATAACGGTTCCGATTCCGGTTCCGATTCTGGTTCCGGTTCCGGTTCCGATTCCGATTTCGGTTCCAATTCAATTTAACAATTCTAAGTTTTCGGATATTTTCCATTGTTTTGCCAAATTTGATATTTTCTTATATTTTCCATAGTTTTGCCGTTTTTTATGTTTTCGCATATTTTTCATAGTTTTGCGGTAAATACTGTTTTAGTTTTACTGGTTTAGTTTACTTTGGTTTAGATTAGTTTAGAATAGTTTCGTTTAGTTTAATTTGGTTAAGTTTCGTTAAATTTTTTTACTTAAGTTTAGTTTAGTTTATTTCCGGTTCCAGTTTTGTTCAACTTCGGGTTCTGATAACGGTTCCGATTCCGGTTCCGATTCTGGTTCCGGTTCCGGTTCCGATTCCGATTTCGGTTCCAATTCAATTTAACAATTCTAAGTTTTTGGATATTTTCCATTGTTTTGCCAAATTTGATATTTTCTTATATTTTCCATAGTTTTGCCGTTTTTTACGTTTTCGCATATTTTGCATAGTTTTGCGGTAAATACTGTTTTAGTTTTACTGGTTTAGTTTACTTTGGTTTAGATTAGTTTAGAATAGTTTCGTTTAGTTTAATTTGGTTAAGTTTCGTTAAATTTTTTTACTTAAGTTTAGTTTAGTTTATTTCCGGTTCCAGTTCTGGTTCAACATCGGGTTCCGATACCGGTTCCGATTTTGGTTCCGATTCCGGTTCCGATTCCGGTTCCGATTCTAGTTCCGGTTCCGGTTCCGATTCCGATTTCGGTTCCGATTCAATTTAACAATTCTAAGTTTTTGGATATTTTCCATTGTTTTGCCAAATTTAATATTTTCTTATATTTTCCATAGTTTTGCCGTTTTTTACGTTTTCGCATATTTTGCATAGTTTTGCGGTAAATACTGTTTTAGTTTTACTGGTTTAGTTTACTTTGTTTTAGATTAGTTTAGAATAGCTTCGTTTAGTTTAATTTGGTTAAGTTTCGTTAAATTTTTTTACTTAAGTTTAGTTTAGTTTATTTCCGGTTCCAGTTCTGGTTCAACTTCGGGTTCTGATAACGGTTCCGATTCCGGTTCCGATTCTGGTTCCGGATCCGGTTCCGATTCCGATTTCGGTTCCAATTCAATTTAACAATTCTAAGTTTCCAGATATTTTCCATTGTTTTACCAAATTTGATATTTTCTTATATTTTCCATAGTTTTGCCGTTTTTTACGTTTTCGCATATTTTGCATAGTTTTGCGGTAAATACTGTTTTAGTTTTACTGGTTTAGTTTACTTTGTTTTAGATTAGTTTAGAATAGTTTCGTTTAGTTTAATTTGGTTAAGTTTCGTTAAATTTTTTTACTTAAGTTTAGTTTAGTTTATTTCCGGTTCCAGTTCTGGTTCAACATCGGGTTCCGATACCGGTTCCGATTTTGGTTCCGATTCCGGTTCCGATTCCGGTTCCGATTCTAGTTCCGGTTCCGGTTCCGATTCCGATTTCGGTTCCGATTCAATTTAACAATTCTAAGTTTCCAGATATTTTCCATTGTTTTACCAAATTTGATATTTTCTTATATTTTCCATAGTTTTGCCGTTTTTTACGTTTTCGCATATTTTGCATAGTTTTGCGGTAAATACTGTTTTAGTTTTACTGGTTTAGTTTACTTTGTTTTAGATTAGTTTAGAATAGCTTCGTTTAGTTTAATTTGGTTAAGTTTCGTTAAATTTTTTTACTTAAGTTTAGTTTAGTTTATTTCCGGTTCCAGTTCTGGTTCAACATCGGGTTCCGATACCGGTTCCGATTTTGGTTCCGATTCCGGTTCCGATTCCGGTTCCGATTCTAGTTCCGGTTCCGGTTCCGATTCCGATTTCGGTTCCGATTCAATTTAACAATTCTAAGTTTCCAGATATTTTCCATTGTTTTACCAAATTTGATATTTTCTTATATTTTCCATAGTTTTGCCGTTTTTTATGTTTTCGCATATTTTTCATAGTTTTGCGGTAAATACTGTTTTAGTTTTACTGGTTTAGTTTACTTTGGTTTAGATTAGTTTAGAATAGTTTCGTTTAGTTTAATTTGGTTAAGTTTCGTTAAATTTTTTTACTTAAGTTTAGTTTAGTTTATTTCCGGTTCCAGTTCTGGTTCAACTTCGGGTTCTGATAACGGTTCCGATTCCGGTTCCGATTCTGGTTCCGGTTCCGGTTCCGATTCCGATTTCGGTTCCAATTCAATTTAACAATTCTAAGTTTCCAGATATTTTCCATTGTTTTACCAAATTTGATATTTTCTTATATTTTCCATAGTTTTGCCGTTTTTTATGTTTTCGCATATTTTTCATAGTTTTGCGGTAAATACTGTTTTAGTTTTACTGGTTTAGTTTACTTTGGTTTAGATTAGTTTAGAATAGTTTCGTTTAGTTTAATTTGGTTAAGTTTCGTTAAATTTTTTTACTTAAGTTTAGTTTAGTTTATTTCCGGTTCCAGTTCTGGTTCAACTTCGGGTTCTGATAACGGTTCCGATTCCGGTTCCGATTCTGGTTCCGGTTCCGGTTCCGATTCCGATTTCGGTTCCAATTCAATTTAACAATTCTAAGTTTCCAGATATTTTCCATTGTTTTACCAAATTTGATATTTTCTTATATTTTCCATAGTTTTGCCGTTTTTTATGTTTTCGCATATTTTTCATAGTTTTGCGGTAAATACTGTTTTAGTTTTACTGGTTTAGTTTACTTTGGTTTAGATTAGTTTAGAATAGTTTCGTTTAGTTTAATTTGGTTAAGTTTCGTTAAATTTTTTTACTTAAGTTTAGTTTAGTTTATTTCCGGTTCCAGTTCTGGTTCAACTTCGGGTTCCGATACGGTTCCGATTTGGTTCCGATTCCGGTTCCGATTCTGGTTCCGGTTCCGGTTCCGATTCCGATTTCGGTTCCAATTCAATTTAACAATTCTAAGTTTCCAGATATTTTCCATTGTTTTACCAAATTTGATATTTTCTTATATTTTCCATAGTTTTGCCGTTTTTTATGTTTTCGCATATTTTTCATAGTTTTGCGGTAAATACTGTTTTAGTTTTACTGGTTTAGTTTACTTTGGTTTAGATTAGTTTAGAATAGTTTCGTTTAGTTTAATTTGGTTAAGTTTCGTTAAATTTTTTTACTTAAGTTTAGTTTAGTTTATTTCCGGTTCCAGTTCTGGTTCAACTTCGGGTTCCGATACCGGTTCCGATTTTGGTTCCAATTCCGGTTCCGATTCCGGTTCCGATTCTAGTTCCGGTTCCGGTTCCGATTCCGATTTCGGTTCCGATTCAATTTAACAATTCTAAGTTTCCAGATATTTTCCATTGTTTTACCAAATTTGATATTTTCTTATATTTTCCATAGTTTTGCCGTTTTTTATGTTTTCGCATATTTTTCATAGTTTTGCGGTAAATACTGTTTTAGTTTTACTGGTTTAGTTTACTTTGGTTTAGATTAGTTTAGAATAGTTTCGTTTAGTTTAATTTGGTTAAGTTTCGTTAAATTTTTTTACTTAAGTTTAGTTTAGTTTATTTCCGGTTCCAGTTCTGGTTCAACATCGGGTTCCGATACCGGTTCCGATTTTGGTTCCGATTCCGGTTCCGATTCTAGTTCCGGTTCCGGTTCCGATTCCGATTTCGGTTCCGATTCAATTTAACAATTCTAAGTTTCCAGATATTTTCCATTGTTTTACCAAATTTGATATTTTCTTATATTTTCCATAGTTTTGCCGTTTTTTACGTTTTCGCATATTTTGCATAGTTTTGCGGTAAATACTGTTTTAGTTTTACTGGTTTAGTTTACTTTGGTTTAGATTAGTTTAGAATAGTTTCGTTTAGTTTAATTTGGTTAAGTTTCGTTAAATTTTTTTACTTAAGTTTAGTTTAGTTTATTTCCGGTTCCAGTTCTGGTTCAACTTCGGGTTCTGATAACGGTTCCGATTCCGGTTCCGATTCTGGTTCCGGTTCCGGTTCCGATTCCGATTTCGGTTCCAATTCAATTTAACAATTCTAAGTTTCCAGATATTTTCCATTGTTTTACCAAATTTGATATTTTCTTATATTTTCCATAGTTTTGCCGTTTTTTACGTTTTCGCATATTTTGCATAGTTTTGCGGTAAATACTGTTTTAGTTTTACTGGTTTAGTTTACTTTGGTTTAGATTAGTTTAGAATAGTTTCGTTTAGTTTAATTTGGTTAAGTTTCGTTAAATTTTTTTACTTAAGTTTAGTTTAGTTTATTTCCGGTTCCAGTTCTGGTTCAACTTCGGGTTCTGATAACGGTTCCGATTCCGGTTCCGATTCTGGTTCGGTTCCGGTTCCGGTTCCGATTCCGATTTCGGTTCCAATTCAATTTAACAATTCTAAGTTTTCGGATATTTTCCATTGTTTTGCCAAATTTAATATTTTCTTATATTTTCCATAGTTTTGCCGTTTTTTATGTTTTCGCATATTTTTCATAGTTTTGCGGTAAATACTGTTTTAGTTTTACTGGTTTAGTTTACTTTGGTTTAGATTAGTTTAGAATAGTTTCGTTTAGTTTAATTTGGTTAAGTTTCGTTAAATTTTTTTACTTAAGTTTAGTTTAGTTTATTTCCGGTTCCAGTTCTGGTTCAACATCGGGTTCCGATACGGTTCCGATTTTGGTTCCGATTCCGGTTCCGATTCCGGTTCCGATTCTAGTTCCGGTTCCGGTTCCGATTCCGATTTCGGTTCCGATTCAATTTAACAATTCTAAGTTTCCAGATATTTTCCATTGTTTTACCAAATTTGATATTTTCTTATATTTTCCATAGTTTTGCCGTTTTTTATGTTTTCGCATATTTTTCATAGTTTTGCGGTAAATACTGTTTTAGTTTTACTGGTTTAGTTTACTTTGGTTTAGATTAGTTTAGAATAGTTTCGTTTAGTTTAATTTGGTTAAGTTTCGTTAAATTTTTTTACTTAAGTTTAGTTTAGTTTATTTCCGGTTCCAGTTCTGGTTCAACATCGGGTTCGGTTGATTTTGGTTCCGATTCCGGTTCCGATTCGGTTCCGATTCTGGTTCCGGTTCCGGTTCCGATTCCGATTTCGGTTCCAATTCAATTTAACAATTCTAAGTTTCCAGATATTTTCCATTGTTTTACCAAATTTGATATTTTCTTATATTTTCCATAGTTTTGCCGTTTTTTATGTTTTCGCATATTTTTCATAGTTTTGCGGTAAATACTGTTTTAGTTTTACTGGTTTAGTTTACTTTGGTTTAGATTAGTTTAGAATAGTTTCGTTTAGTTTAATTTGGTTAAGTTTCGTTAAATTTTTTTACTTAAGTTTAGTTTAGTTTATTTCCGGTTCCAGTTCTGGTTCAACTTCGGGTTCTGATAACGGTTCCGATTCCGGTTCCGATTCTGGTTCCGGTTCCGGTTCCGATTCCGATTTCGGTTCCAATTCAATTTAACAATTCTAAGTTTCCAGATATTTTCCATTGTTTTACCAAATTTGATATTTTCTTATATTTTCCATAGTTTTGCCGTTTTTTACGTTTTCGCATATTTTTCATAGTTTTGCGGTAAATACTGTTTTAGTTTTACTGGTTTAGTTTACTTTGGTTTAGATTAGTTTAGAATAGTTTCGTTTAGTTTAATTTGGTTAAGTTTCGTTAAATTTTTTTACTTAAGTTTAGTTTAGTTTATTTCCGGTTCCAGTTCTGGTTCAACTTCGGGTTCTGATAACGGTTCCGATTTTGGTTCCGATTCCGGTTCCGATTCTGGTTCCGGTTCCGGTTCCGATTCCGATTTCGGTTCCAATTCA